CAATTATAAAAAATAAAACACACACATTCCACAAACCCTATGACTGACTAAAGATTGATATTTTCCTGCAGCTGTTCCAGTGTGGGAATATTTTTGTTTAAATATTCCTAAAATGTCACCCAGCTTGAATGGTTTGAACATTGAAAATAAAGGAGAGAAACCTCTGCAAACATGCCAGGAGTCATTCTGAATCAAAGAAATCCTCGAGTTTTAATCCATGTATTTATTTTTTCTTTTATTGTAAAGGGTATGAAACTATAGGTGAATCGTTTTATGTTTCATTATTTATCGCAAAGTTTACATGCAGTCTCTTTCCAAATGAAAATGCAAATGATAGTAATAATATCAAAGGATATAGGTAGGACATTTCCTCTTATCACGGCTCTTATATAAGACACAGAGAGAATACTATACCCCATCAACCCCCCCACCCCTTTCTCTTGGAAAACCCCGTGTAAACAAAAAGGCGATGGGGTATACCTTTAACTCGGTGCCTTCAGAGTCTGCTGATAAATCTAAACCCCTAAAATAACAACGGTAATAGTAACAAGAATTAAGACATTTTATTGTTATTGTTTTCAACAATATAGCATGTTACGTACATTCCGGTAAAATACTTTTTTCTATTTTTTTTCTTTTTTCTTTTTTACCTAAACGACCTAGAACCACCTCACCTTTTGTCTGCACCAGCACTGCAAACATGATCCGTTTAACAAGTCATCATCTCTATTTATCTTTAGAATTACATTTCTCTTAAACGAATTTAAGAGAAAAATAATTGTAGCCTACCTGCATTAAGCACATTTCCGAAATGTCTTAAGTGCTTGCTCTAAAAAAACAAAACAAGTGGAACTTTGTTTTAGAGATAGGCCTAGGTGCACCCTCAGGCAGATTTCCACTTGTTTAAAAGTTTGATTATGGGATAAATGATTTGTTGCAGTGGCTGTTTTTTCGCAGTGTTCCAGTCCGTCTGCTTTGCACTTTGCCACAAGTGCTCGAAGTTTGCCTCACTCCAACTCGTAAATAACTTTTCCAAAAAATGGTTGCTCTTCATCCCCCTTCTGTGCCAGTTTTTTAAGAGCCAAGGTCCACTAGATTAGAAGACATAGGGTTCAGTATGGAGTCGTGGTGCATTGAGTGGTGATGGTGCACCGAGTCTACACCGCTGAGAACCGGGATGGCGCTGGGTCCAGGCGGGGGCGCAAGGCCGTGCAGGGACTGTAAACCGGAGCCGAGGAGCAGAGTCGGGCTGTGGGACGTGTGATCCGGTGTCCCCATGGGTGTTTTATCGTCGTCCGAGCTCCCCAGGAGAGATTTATTTCCATTCATGGAAGAACTCAATGGGTTGTGACTATTGCTGTTGGAGTTCTCGTTGTTTTCCCTGATAACAACACAACAAAATCACACATTATTGTGGTCCATGTGCAACCAAACTCTTGTAAAGATATTACATCAAACTGTGACTTATTTTTAAACTAGCTACAGTGTTTTCACAGAATATAAACTAAAGTACTTTAATAATGCAAATGTAATATCTGCAATAAATATTTTTAACGTTGAAAAAACAAAATAAACTTTATTCTGAAATAACTAACAACTATGGGCCTATACACACAAACACACACAGAAGAAGAAAATACACACACGCACGCACGCACGCGCACACACACACACACACACACACACACACGCTGAAACACACACACACACACACAACATACACAATGCTAATGTTGTATATTAGGCCAAGCTATATTTACTGAAGCCATAATAGCATCATTAATATGTATAAATGATCAAATGCTTAATCTAATGATTTATTAAAGCATCAATCAGTAGGCTACATGTGCCAGGATGCAGGCAATAAGTAGGCCTAAGTCATTGAAATAATTAGAGGCCTTGGCTCATTTCACTACAGTACTGCAGAAAGTTAAATGGCTGCATTATAGAGCAGTGACTGGAGACAATACATCTATCAGACTATTGAACCTGCATTAAGCGTCTTTGTTTAAGGCACATTAACTTAACCAGAGTGACCTGTGGGTAAACACGCCTATCAAAGTGGGCTAGCTCTTTGGTACGTCTGAATAATTGACAGCTCTAAATATTGCTGAACGTGTGCTTGTTGCCTATGGCGTAGTTCATGTGTTTGCAGTGGTGAGTAAGGCTTTCTCAGTGGGAAGACATGATTTACGTGGAGCTTTCAGCCCGAATTAGTGGCCACAGGGCGAAAGAAGACACCGACAAAGTGAACACCTGACTAAAACCTCTCCACACGATGTAATTTAAAAACGTTGAAATGTACAAACGACTCCTAATGAAATGTCAACCTGCTTGTGTGGAGTCTACACAGCGTGCCACATCAATTACACCGCAAACAACTTTTAAACGTGTTCTGGGATGTTTTCTTATATATCTGTGTCCAATCCAGTGGACTATCTAGAGGTTTCAAACTTTTTTTTATCTCTGATCCTTACGTGAAAGTCTAATTTAATGTTATAATAAGTGTGATTAAAACATAAAAGTGAGGTAAATGCAACTTTTATAACCTTGTAATTTACCTGACAAAAACTCTTTAATTTTCTGCCTTTCAACTTTTACGCACGGCCTGCATAATTATCACACACATGAAAAACAACAGTACAGGACGTGAGTTAACTGAACACAAAGTAAGGAAAAGTCACTGCTTTTAATATAATTGTCCTAAAGAAACAGATGCGTGCAGAAAACTAAACTGTATTAGGTAAGAAGTTGAACCGAAAATATATGAACATTTGCGCAATGCAATACATTGCCAGATGTAGGTCAAATCATATAGGAGCATCAGCTGTTTTTTGCCTGGTTAAAATTAGTTTTCTGTCTTTTTTTAATTAATGTCACAAGCATAACAAAACACAAGATTCCCCTTTTCTGAAAAATATTTGTGGTACTCCTACCTTTCCTTCGCCTCCGCTGCTCGGTCTCGCTGCCGTCGGTTTTTGAACCAGTTGCTGACCTGCGTGGTGGTGAGTCCCGTGCCCTCGGCCAGCTCTCTTTTCTCCCGCGGGGATGGGTAAGGATTGTGGGTGTACCACTCCCGCAGGACGCTCCTGCTCTTCTCCTTGAAGCAGTAGCTTGTCTCTTCTCCGTCCCAGATGGAGCGAGGTAGGGGGAACTTTCTCCGGACGCGGTACTTCCCCACGGCGCCGAGCGGACGGCCTCTCAGCTTCTCCGCCTCGATGTAGTGCGCTTTGAGCCACAGCTGCTGCAGCTTCGGGTGGTTGTGCGGAGAAAACTGGTGGCTCTCGAGGATTTTGTAGAGCTCTCGGAAGTTCCCCCGGTGGAAAGCGACCACGGCTTTCGCTTTGAGGACGCTCTCATTTTTGTGGAGGTGCTCACACGCCGGGAGGGACCAGAGGAAGCGCCCGAGCCGCTCGATGTTCCCCCCTTGTTGGAGAACTTCGCAAACACACGCAACTTGCTCCTGCGTAAAACCAAACGTCGGAAGCATGGACATGGCGACAACGTAAACCAATACAGATTATATTGTGCCTTACTTCCACGTCTCCCCTCTCAGTCTCACATTAAATCAAAACGCATTAAGTCCATAAGCGACAAAAGGTCCCCAAAAGAGCAACTTCAAACTTAAAACAGCCCAAGGTTAGGTAGTAATATCCAACTGCGTATTATGGCATAAACTCAAGTCCATTCAGCCGTGCAAAACCCCAGGCGACAAATCCTCATATAGTTGGTGAGAAAGAGAGAAAGTTGCTACTCCTTCCACCGTCCTCCTCCACCTTTTCTATGCCGTTTCAACATAACCTACTCCCGGAGACCGGGCTCGCTGGCTCGTTTTAATAATATTATTCTAAGCTGGCAAGACAAGCGATTATATGAAATCTGATTGGTCGGTTATCTGACCCGGGGATGGCGAGGATAAGACAATAGCCTTCGTCAAATTATTTGCCATGGTTACGCTGTCACTCAAAGTAACCTGATATGCTTTGAGGTGGCTCCCTGGCAAAGTCAACACGATTGTTCCCTTCACGACCAGCCCGCCTACCAATAGAAATATTGCTCAGATTTTTCCTCTTAAAACACTTTTTTTCTTTCCCTTTACTTTGACAGACACCTCGGGCAGCCAAAGAGCGCGGAGCTGTAGGAGAGGGGGTGTGGAGAGGGAGAGAGGTCCCGCAGCTGGGGGAAGGATGGCGCCAGAGCGCGCAGTCTGCTGCAGTTTGTCTTCCAGCCTCCAGCGGCTCTCACAAATCAATCAACATTTCCAACACCTGGAACTTTAAAGTCAGTCACTTTATATTTTCATACACGACAAATGACTGTCAGCTGTCTAGCGATAACAAGTAAATTAAGGAAAAGTTCCCCCTAAAATACCTGACCAACTTATGGCAAGCAATACATAATTTCAATTAGACTAACTATGTCAGATGTCAGGTAGAGGTTTAAGTTTTCTCACCCCCAAACAAGTTAGATACATTTGTTTTCAGCTCACATGAAGATGTAAACGTCATTTGGGTAAAGTGGGTTTACAGATGGCTTACGGAGATACATGGTGAACATAACTGTATTTAGAAACATTTTCTATGATTTTTTACGTTTTAAATAATAATATCATAAGAAACATAACGTTAGACGTTTGAAAATGTATTATTTTAGTAAGAAATATATGGAAAATATGTGCTAACATTTCATGTATAAAGACATGCGTTAGGATATTCCCAAAGGAAATTAAGTCTGTCACTTCGTTTATATTAACTTTATAACTAATTTAACTTTTCTATTTGTTTAATCAGATACGGAATAAATATAGTGTGGTGTATTTCTCTGATCCTAAAGCGATATTATATATTTGTAAGAAGACATGTTGCTCCATAATTCAGTAAAGTAGGACCGTGCTACTGTTTATTATTTACATCTAAATGAGGGGTGAGCCAGTGAGGGCTGAGACAATGTGAAGGTGTGCAGCAGCTCGCGGTGCTGCAGAGAGGGAGAGCAGAGAGGGAGAGAGGGAGAGAGGGAGAGTGTGTTGGGGAACAGTGGAGAGGAAACCGAGCGGCAGCAGCACCGGTGAGCCAAACAATTCAATCTGTATTTAAGTCGTCTGGCTAACACGGTTCAGTGCAACAGTGCAGGAAGATGGAAGTCAGATATCATCAGAGCTGGGAGGAGAACTCAGATAACTAATAGTAGAAGTACTAATACTCTGTTACAAATTAAAAGTCCTGCATTCAAATGTTACTCAAGTAAAAGTACACAAGTATTAGCATCACAATATACTTAAAGTACCAAAAGTAAAAGTACTTATTATGCAGATTGGCCTATTCCAGAATAATATATATTTTGATTATAATTATTGGTGCATTAAAGTGTTATCAAAGTAGTAAAGGTGCAGCTAGTTTGAATGACTTTGTATACAGGGTAGCTAACAAGTGTTGTTAATATTTTCACATTATTAATCCAATTGTCCAAAGTAATTAAAGGTATTACATAAATGTATTGGAGTAAAATAACACAATTCACCTCTGAATTAGGTAGCAAAGTAGCAACACATTGAAAGTGCAAGTCTCTCAGAATTGCACTTGAGTAAATGTACTATTTACACCACTGTATTTGAGTCGTCTGGCTAACACGGTTCGGTGCAGTATAGTGGGAGATGGAAGTCAGATATCATAATCACAGCAGGATTAGGAGATAGGGTTTGAAGAGCAGAGCAATCATTTCAATGTGATGATTAAGATAACATGACGCGGGGAAAAGGCGAATGTATAGGTTTTATAATTCAGAGGAGAAAATGATACTTGTTGATGAAAAATGAAGAGGTTGTTTTGTCTCGATGCAAATCCTCAAAATTGGCAGCAGCATAATGAAAACAGTGTCATAAATGTTATGTTGGTGTTGTCAGGTGTATGGGGACGTGTGTCACGCGGACGGGCATGTGTGTTATTGACTGTTGGGCCACAGATTGACCAGTTGGTAGATTTCTATCGCTTCACCATGGGACCTCTTCATTAGAGATACGATTGTCAGCTACACCCACACACAGTATCACATCACTCGAGACTGCTGCCTCCAACTACACACACAGACACACGGACACACACGTGCATACACTCACACAACACGCTTGTTAATTAAATGAAAGGTAGGCAGTGTGAAAAATAAAAATAAAGTAAATATTACAATGCTACTAAGAATACCAATAATAACATACATGTGAAAATAACATCATTTGTATTATTCATATTTTGATTATTGTTATTCTTTATAATTATGGTTATGATTATAATGCATGGTATTTCATATTTGAAAGGCGTAATTTGATATATTTGCAGCCCTCTATTCTATAAAGCCTCTATACATTTGCATGTAAATATCAGCAGAATATTTAAAATCATATAGGCCTACGTTTTCCGGGGTTTTAAATTAAATGTAGCCACCTTCTATTCCGATGGGCTATACCATCCGAGTCGGACTGCTGAAAATGAGTTATAGTGTAATTATGAAGTTAGTTTATCACAAGAGATGAGGAGTCCGTAAGAGGAGCCTGATCCCTGTTTCCGTGTTGTGTTCCCCCTTTGTTTAATACATTGACTTGGGTTTCGCCTGAAGCGCAGTTCAGAGAGTATTACGGCATTAAGCTGACTGATGGTAATCGTCAGGGGACCGGGGGCTCCACTGCAATGGATAGCGAGGAAAACAAGGAAGCGATTTATACATACAATGCATACACGAAAAAAATATATATCTTCATTAATTATGAATGAGTTGTATTCCCTAATTTAATAAGAGATAATAATAATCCATACAAATACAGCGTCATAAATCACAATATATCAGACGCGACATTAAATCACTTGCCTTTACTCTGTTGACTTTGATTCAGTCAGCTGATGAACATCGGAGAAACTGATGAGTGAAAATGAGCGCCTGCTGCCTATAAACACTGTTTGACAGACGTGACTGTTAAAACCGATCTCAGATAAAAACTTATCATCTCCATCCATCTTACACACACACTGAAAGGTCTAGTAAATGAGCCCAAAACACACACACACACTCACCCTGGTGAAAGAGGTGCTGCTACACTCACAGTGGTCACTTTATTTCCCACTGAGGGTGTGTATCGTCTCTTTTTACATCCAAGGACGTTCAGATGTGCGTTTTAAGGCCTAATAATTTACCAGGCTGTTTAGAGAAACAGGAATCTAAATATACATATACTACTGTATTTAATTTAATTTTTTAGTCTAAGCTTTGACTGTTGGCACTATTATGTTGCCTCCCTGTGCCATGTGTCTCTGTGTCAGCAGTGGTTGCATAAAGGCCTATATAGCTCATCCCTAGCTTACTCTGTCCTTAGTCATTTGGACTATTATGGGGCATGATGAGGGCAGATGTAACCAAAATAGGGTCTGCTTATAAGAGCTCCATCCGGGTCTTATTCATGCTATTCGGATGAGATAAGGCATGTGGCGCAGTGGATAGAGCCTTGGTGTTGGGATCAAGGGGTCACAGGTTCAAACCCCACTGCAGTCAGCATGGTGTTGTGTCCCTGGGAAAGACACTTCACCCCAAATTGCTCCTGTGGGGATTGCCCACAAGTAAGTCGCTTTGGATAAAAGCGTCTAACATGTAATGTAATAATACATGAGAATAACAGGCAGCTACACTGAAAAGTTGACTTGAATAAAAAAAAAAAATGTTTTTCATTTAAACGTAATATTATTCCTTTCAACTAACCTGATACAGTTATGTGGAATCTGTTGACCTAATACATTTCATTAAAGTCAACGTTTAATTTTGTTCAGTGTGTCATCCCACCTTGCTCTATGACAGGCATTCAGATATGGCAACATTAAGTCAGAATAGAGTTAAAATTGATTAAATATAGGGATTTAAAAAAAATCTTTGACATGAAAACGTTTGAAAACTTGAAGAAACTCATCCTGTTGACATGTCTCATTCAACACCTGCTCACTTTGTCTTTGTTTTTGTTCTCCTATAAGCTCTTAATTCTGCATCTGATTGGGGAGCAACAAGTCACTTCCTCAGAAAGGATATATGAGAGCAAATACAAAAATAAAGTAGTCAATTACAATGGGAATACAAATACAAATCCTCTTGGTTGCACTCATGCTAAGAACCTCCGGGTGTGCACAGTGCCGGGGTGAGTCCCCTGACTGGCCCGTGACAGTGTTTGTAAACCACTTGTTTCCACGGATCAGTTTGATCAGAGGGCTCTGGCTCTCAAACGGTAATTATTACGGCCGCTGATGAATGGAGATCGCGTTTCCCCTAATAGACAACCCCCTATTTTCACAACCTCCCACCGCTCACCTCGGCCGCTCTCCACCACGACCTGCACTAATTGAGCTGATTATTGCAAGATGTGTGTTTTGGTGTGTGTTGCAAAGCCTATGTGTTGTGGTTGGGGTACAAGGGAGGGGACGTGGCTTTTTATTCTACAGGACTGACCTGAGACGAGCGCAACAAGGGGTTGATGAGTAACATTCTTTCAGACAGACATCCCAATGTTGGGCATGAGAGAGAGAAATTATTAAAGCCAGAGCCTCTGTGTCTATACCGGTTAAAGGGATATGAATGAGGGCCTATCCAATAATTGGTTGTTTACATCTATCTTGTTACCCCAGAGGCCGGGGCTATCCTATAGAGCAAGGAGGGGATTTCAATAAACCGCAAAGGCAAGCAGCAGGGAGGGGTGTGTGTGTGTGTGTGTGTGTGTGTGTGTGTGTGTGTGTGTGTGTGTGTGTGTGTGTGTGTGTGTGAGAGTCTTGTCTTCATTTCCAGAAGGCTCTGACCGGTCGGCAGGTTCATCAGATTGGACGGTTTACATTTCAAGCCCACTCTAGTCTATATAGGCCTGCACAAAACACAGCAATTTCACAGGCAGTTAAAAGATGAGTCAAGCATCACCTTCATGTTCATCACGGGCAAACACCAACACAAACAAAATCAGGTAGAAAAGAGAATAATTTCTGCTTCTTTTCTTCACACAGCTTTTCTACCTGCAGCCTACTTATTGCATCCACTCAATGCATTCGTTTGGAAGTTTCCGTGTAAATGTTATACTCACACAGTTTGAATGAACTACAAACACAACTGAACAACTTCAATTGAAGATTTCTGCTAAATTCTAATCTGATGCATAGACTCACTATCTGATCTTTCTGATTACCCTATATCTACAACTCCACAGAAACCACACATGTCAAGCAACACATCCAGTGTTAACACATCATTATACTCAAGTTCAAAGGAAAAAAGCTCCCAATGCAACACTTTGACTACAATGATAAACATATGTAATTCATAACATTCAGGGTTAATAGTGCAATGTGACAAAGCGAAACAAACACAAGTATGCATTAACAATATTAAGTATTATTCACAAAATCAGTCAAAGACTATAATACCATGGCAATATCCGAAGATGACCAAAAGTCATTAATGAACAGAAATACAAACCTCTATATCCACGTACAACTAGCTGTTTCAGCAACGTCAGAATGCCCTTTGGTGCATTTACCTTCCACTTTATTGCAATCAGAACATTCTGGGGGGAAGACGGTACATTAAAAAGCCCTGTAATGTGCCCTCATGCAGCTACAGTGATTACTGAATGTTAAATAAACCCTAACACACCAATACCCCACTGCCCGCCACCACCAAACTGCTGTGGAACACATTTACACCGAAATTGCAGCTGGCCTGAGCACTGGAGCAAACAGCAACAAGTGTCTGTTTTTCTACAAGGCTGGTCATTGGAGCTGATCAGTAGCAGTGTGTGTGTGTGTGTGTGTGTGTGTGTGTGTGTGTGTGTGTGTGTGTGTGTGTGTGTGTGTGTGTGTGTGTGTGTGTGTGAAAGGGAGAGTGTGAGCATGGGGAGAGAGTGAGAGTGGCGCTCACTGCTATGGTTAATTTATTCGATCAATCACTCCATTTGATTCCTGTTTATTTTCAGGAGTCGCACGGTCATTTCAGCCGCACACTGAGCCCTTTATGCGCTGCCAAGGCGTTTCCCCTCAACCACTAAGACCGTATTGCATGCATTGGGCTATAATTTGGAGAGGAGAAGGGCTCCAGCACTTCTCAGATATTTCACGCTTCCTAACCTTTACGGTGAAATCCCCTCAGACCTGTCTCTCGTCAAACCCACAGTGTGCAGACATGCAGGTATATGAGCTTCACGCACCCCTGATTTATGTCAACGCTGTGGGCTTGTTCTAAATGACTGCAAACACACTCCAGTTTGGAATTATGTATTATTATCGTCTAGAATTTGGCAAAGTGTGCAGAGGGCAAAGTGTGCAGCCCCTCCATGAATCCACTTCCTTTCGGGCAGACGTATAGGTGTGCTTTTACTGTGATTTTCTTTGTTAATTAAACCTGGTAGACTTGCAAAGTATAGCACGTTTGACTTTTTATTTTATCCTTGATCATTTTAAATTGACCAACTAGTGTCAAACTAAAGCAGTTTGTATGGATTTTCATGTGTAATCAATTCAGTTTGTTAAGCATATTGGCAATGACTTGCAAACCGAGCTTAACCTGCTCCTTTGGAGTATTTTGATACGGCAAGCAACTAAGAAACTGCCATGGGACCAATATGTCAGATAAACCTCAGTGCGTTCTGGATCAAAGGAGACATAAGGCTGGGACATTTAATAATATCAGATAACCAGAATTGCTTCTGATCATGTAACTCGTGGAAAAGCAAATAAATGCCTTTTTGGCTAGAAACACGAGGCAAAGTCTACCCCACCCTAGCAACAACTAAAAAAGAAGACTCAACTATGAAACCACAATGTTATGTCAGTGTGAAAAAAGGCCAGAGCCGGGATCCTTATTTATTTTGGAAATTTGTTTTACTAAAACAGCAAAGAAAGCACAGTGACACAAAACAACATAATATCAAATTAGTCACAGAGAGCTCTGCAGCGCAGCTTTCACAACTGACTTTATTTACTATGATTGGCAAGGATTCTATTTGTATTCAAGATATTATAAGTGAGTATTCTTAAAATCTTCAGTGTCCTGTGTGAATGTTAGAGATATTCCAGTATAGTATTTCTTAACATACAACCCACGCCTTCCACTTATAGCTAAGTCTGCAGCATCACTTAATGTTTTTCCCTCATGCAGCATTCTTCCCTTTTTACAGTGCTGGAACTCGTATGTCAGGAAAGAATTTATTAAAAGCGACCCGCAGTAATTAGCAATGTGCTAATGCTTGAATTTGTCTCCATTCCTGTATGCAGGGTTTTTACAACACTTTCACTTGAAACACAGGCTTGACCCCGTGTCACCAGCCATATGGGCAGTAAATAGTTCCATGATAGAGTCAGGGGTTGTAGTGATACTGTACCGGAGAGACACGTCTTGTTATATATCATACTACATGGTGTTTTTATGGCATGAAGAGGATTGACATGAAGTTTTGGTTATGTGATTGGTGCTTTGTTTTACTGTGTCCTGATACATTGGATAGAATAGTTATACTTTTTGTAGCCTCTGTGGGTGGGTTGAGGACAGCTGCACAAGTTTATATATTTAATATAGAGAATTTCATTTGTCACTGTGATGGTATTATGACAAGACATTGATGGTTTAATGTCATGTAAAGGATTTCCATTGGTGTTGAAAACTTGAATTTTGAAAATAATATATACACAGTATGTTTGCTCTAGCATGAGCAACTTCACAGAAGATTCAATGGACATTCTAACTAAGATCCCACCTATAAATATGTTTAGCAAGGTAAAAAGCAGTTTCAGCGGTCATTTGATGATATCAACAAACTAAGGAATCAAGAGAGTCCATGCTGTACAAAGAGCTGCTTGAGTTAAAAGCCAATGCCTGGCACCACCCAAATCACAAGTCATTACGATACATGAATTGGGACCCATGAATGTCTGTAAAAAATGTGGTGCCAATCCAGTATTTCACAGGATGAGAACAAACGTTAACCTGCATGTGGCATTCAGTCAAAAGGATGACCAAAAATCATTAGGATTCATCCTCTAGGAACCATGAATGTACTTGTAATCAATCCACTACATTGAATGTTCCAGGCAAAAAAACGAAATGTGTACATGCTGGTGGTGCTCAAGGAATCCCAGAATCACCTAATTCAGAATGAAGTATCCTCTGAGCACCATGAACATCTGTAAACAGTCTCATGGCAATCCATCAAATAGTTTTTCCGTTTGGATCAATGTAGTGGGCCTACCGACAATCCAACATTGCCGATCTCAGTCATGCTGATAGCAAATGTAACACTAATAATGTTAATACAACGACAGATGCATGAAGAAAACAGATGTTCTCAATCAGCTGAACTTTGTTTCCAAGGAACACTTTGATTTAATCAGTCAATCATAAGTGTTGGTATTGTTGCCCCGTCTTCACAGTAGCTCCTACTTTTATATCTTCACAGTTTGCTAAGTGTTTAATGTATTAGTTGTGGAAGCTTTGCAAATCCCATTTCCATGCTGTGGCCTCCAAGAATTCCCATTAATAATGTATCTACTTTCATCTTCTAAATGACTTCTCTCTCATTAAACCAAACCATCCATCACACTTGTTGCTGTGCTCTGGTCTCATTTGGGCATCGCGTAAGATGAAGGAAGTGTTTGCTTTGTAAATAGGCATGTGGCACGGCGTGTCGCTCATTTGTTTTTATTTGGAAGAATTGAATTTCATGATTGCTTTTTAATTCTGCCTGTAGGGTATATGAAATGCTTGCAAACCTCTGAACACTTGGTACAGGAAACTAACAATTATAGTCAATCTGAACATATGGCAACCACAGCTATTTGAGAGATGGGGCTTATGCGGAGGAACTGCCTCGTAATGCATCATTACACTTTACTGAGGTTTAGTTTCTCCATACACTGTTGCTGTTTGCACCAGTGATTCATCTTCAAGCCAGACTATAAATCATAATGTAACACTTCCTTTTTACAGCAAACTATATAGAGAAACACATAACTACAATAGTATACATTAATTCAAAACTTGTTACTGCATAGTCTAAGCTGGTACTCCTTAAACTCACCTCACATGACATCTTGAGTATTAATACAAAAATAAATACATTCAGATATATATTTAATGTAAATGAAGAAGGTCGGAGCAGCTTATTGACATGAAAGTTAAACATAAACTTACATACAACTTCCTGTCTATATTTATCTTGCTGGTCCCTATCGAACCCCGTTCAGCTTCTATACATTAAGTAACTACAGATTAATAAGCTCTCATAGCATGTAGATCTTTTTTTTGCAGGTTTGGGAACACACTATATCTAACATTATTAAACTATGGAAATCTAGCCAATGGTTTTACTGTAATTGTTTTATCCATAAATGATGATCTTGTCAATGAACTCTATAGATTATAGTGTCAATTGAGCCAGCATGACACTGTCTATAAAAAAAAACTACATTTTAACGGCAAATACGTTTGGTAAACAGTGTGGCCAAAAGCAGGATCAACATAATGAAGGAATATTCAAATGAAACCGACCAACAAAACATTCACTTTTTATTTGCTTTGCCTACAAAATTCACTCTTGGCTACTCAGAAAAACTTGGATAAAGTTAAGGAAAGATCGTGGACTTGGTTAAATATTAAAAAAGTCAATACTGACTCGAAGCATGAAACAGGAAGTGTTGACTTAAATTTCTTACCAAAGCCGCAATTTTCCCTTGATTTTAACCAAGTGCTTTAGTAGCCTAAACCAAACAGCATGTGGGACGCAAAACTCTGTCTCTGGTGTCAGAGTCTGTACTGTGAACGCCAAAATATCCACCCTGACCTCCTCCTCTTAACTTCTTCACAGTGGCTACACATCATGCTTCCTGGATTGAATAAGGCATTGCAAGTAAACTAAAGTCAGACAGTGGAGCAGCGGCACAACCCTTAACTTCCTCCTAGATCCTCAACAACTGAGGACATTCAGAAGAAGTTTTCAGGCACTACTCAAACCTGCCACAGGTGAAAGAATGACCTCCGAATTTAAAGTATGTTTTGTGGGTCATCTCGATTCACCCCAATACAATACGTTGGTGTAAAGACTAAAGCAAATGCATCAGTGTTTCCTCTGTCATGAAAGTAGTTGAATAGCCCTTCATATAGTCCACATCTGCAAGGATTCATTTGAGCTTAGTTTCTCTGAGTGTAGTTGTTTACTTCGAGAGGCCTCTCCAGACCACCAACAGCAACTTTGAGACAATCTCATAATGATATACAGTACGAGCTGCAACACAAAGCTCAGGAGGTCATCTCTAGTGAAGACGTGCCTGTCGGCGAGCGGGGGGATGATGAGCTTTCACACAAGCAGAAAGAGGGGGATTACTGTCAATTGCTCACAAATTGCAATAATACCCGCTGCCGGGCCACCCACACATGTGCTGAGAGACAAGTGATAAATTGCTGCATATGTCCATTCCACAGTGGCAACTCCACCGGCACGCTGCCTACAACCATCTCCATTCTTTATGCTGCGTGACATGTGGAAGCAAGTGCAACGACCTAAACTGTAAGAGGCATTGAAAATGTAAAATATTTACTTGGATAGGGTTGTCCAAAACATAGAGCTGTTTCATTAGCTTAATATGTGCTATCAGGCTAAGTATTTTTGTAAACATGGTATATCTATTCGTGAATCGGTCGTTTTTAAGGAGCCAAGATAAACAAGTTGAATTCTTTATGTTTTAGTATTTGAAACTCAAATTTGGTCTTAAATATTTTAGAATCTGATTTATTCCCCTTTAGTTCAGAATTATTGTGATAATTAGTGTTGTTTTTTTATCTTATAATGACCATTTATTTTAAACAAAATGACCGATATAGTGTTATCAACATCACAGTACCCTGCCGTAGTGAAGAGTCGTGCCTTAAAGAATTCCACCACACAGGGAATTTTTTTAGCCTCTCAAAATGAATACAGCATATCATATTTTGAAACTAAACCCTCCAATACATACATGGTAATTCGTTCAGATCATATCATTCCTCTGCGCAAGAGCCAAGCAGATGGCTAATCCGGTCCCAGTATCTAATCAGAGCAGTCATTCTAATGACAGTATAATTTCATAAGAGGCCTTTGTCTCAGAATATTCAGGAGCAGCATGGGGGGGATCGGAGATATTCATCATCAGCACAGATTGGAAACAGGCCCCAATAAATGACACATTTGCTTCCTGCCTGCCTGTGTTAGAGGAATGGCAGAATGCAGTGAATGTGGTACAGTGTGTGTACGTGTGTGTGTGTGTGTGTGTGTGTGTGTGTGTGTGTGTGTGTGTGTGTGTGTGTGTGGATGGACTGACTTGGTTCGAGTGTGTGGGTGTGTAGCAGCTGCAGCTCGATGAGCTTTTCTGACTATGTATTTGTAAGTATGCCCATGTCTAGGTGTGTGTGTGTGTGTGTGTGTGTGTGTGTGTGTGTGTGTGTGTGTGTGTGTGTGTGTGTGTGTGTGTGCGTGCTTGTGTGTGTGTGCGTAGTATCTTTAATAGCTAGAGCAGTAGAGTTCACTTAGGTTAATTGACAAGGCATTAATGTAGAATTTACACCTTCAGGTCAGAGCACCAACAAACCTAATCAGCACATACAATGCAGATGATGGCTCAAAGTGTGTGTGTGTGTGTGTGTGTGTGTGTGTGTGTGTGTGTGTGTGTGTGTGTGTGTGTGTGTGTGTGTGTGTGTAGTCTTGTTTTAGCAACACTTTACTTGATCTGTGTCTATTTCTCTCTACCTCTTGTCTTTGCAGTAATGATAATGAATACCACCTCTAATTCAGGCAAAAATGGAGGAATGTAAAGACAAACGACATCCATAAAACTCAATGTGGCAGTAAAATCCAGTCATGTTTCTGTGCATGGAGACACTGACCCGTGAAGAGACATATTATTTACAGCACTGCGGGAAGTCGCAGCCCTGCATAGACAGACGGAAAATATATGGACGCACGAGGGCAGGATCTTCTTTTAGCCAGCTTAAAACTCAGAGCCGTTTGTCATGTTGGATCTCTGCAAAGTGCATGTACCCTAACGCTGTGCTTCTACCTTGGGAAGGAGTGTCTAGGGGTCAGGAAGTGAATATAAAACACGCAAAGACATACAGTAGATACACAGTGAATCTTCCCCTGACCTCTCCACTTGCTATTGAATACACGCACGCACACGCGCACACGCGCACACACGCACGCACACACACACACACACACACACACACACACACACACACACACACACACACACACACACACACACACACACACACACACACACACACACACACACACACACACACACACACACACACACAGCTTTGTATCTGGTTGATGGAGAGGACAAGCAGAGTTGTTGCAGCCAGAGTCATATTTACATCAGCCAGTGTAATATTATCGATAAAAGCCAAGAGGACAGCAGCGCACCATAACTCACGGCATGCAGGGAGCACCAGCTGTTCAGAGTTCATCTTCCTCTGAAGCAGCGGGGGGGCGAAGAGAGATGTTAAAGCAGGGACAATGAAAGAGACAGTGGGGAGGGGGGAAAAGCCAATTAGGAAGAAAAGAGGACAGAGAGGGACTCGGGTGACGCATATTCAAAATATGCCATATAGTTATATAAAATAAAAATGGCTGCAACAAAAAGGAGAAGTAGAAGTACAGAAACAAGTACAACAAAATGTCACAATAACTAAAGTTCAACATGATGTCTTCAAAGGTTTTGTTATGTCCAAAACTTACAAATATTAACTAGAGTCTAATAATACTCTCACCGGCCGGAAACAATTGTTGAATTGAATGTTTGGTATTTATGCTTGAAGATGACAAAATCGTTCCCAGTCAATTTTCTGATAAACGGATTAACTGCCTTAACATTTAAGCTCACATTTTTGTGATTCAACTTCTTGTTGTTGGTGAAATGGTATCTTGAATGATAACATGTCATAATTTTTGAATTGTAAAAAACACTCAACATGAATGTCGTAACTAGAAAGTCAAATCTACTTTGCAATGGAACTCAGGTCACTTCACTTCTTATGTGATTTGCGTATGCCACCTCATGAGGCACTCAATAAGAACATATTCAAATGGTACTCTTGATTTCAGCTATATCAAACAGTCTTATATCCAATATAATAGATTTTCTTGACGGTTCAAACATACCTGTGGTTGTTAAAAACCTGCGTGATTTTCTAAGTGACGGAGTGTGTATGGTTGATGAAGTCAATCTGAATCAATACGAGTTCTACCCTCATGCATGCCAGTAATCACCTCTTTTACTTTTTGGGTACAATTAGGTGTCACGTGTCATTTTGGAACGATGCTCTTCAAATACTTCATCACCGGCCCTCTCAGTTTCACGGCAGACGCCGGCTGACCTCATCGAGTGACCTCACCAATCACTGATCAAAGTCTGTGGGTTTCTGGCTGGTCAGGTTAATCAGAGGACCACCGTGGAGAACCAATCAG